GTTGCAGCTAGCGAGGGACGTGAGGGGTAACAAGAAGGGTTTCTACCAGTATGTTGGCAGCAAGAGGAGGATCAGGGAAAGTGTGGACCCTTACTGAACGAGGGAGGCAACCTTGTGACAGAGCATGTAGAAAAGGCTGCAGAAAAGGCTGAGGTGCTCAATGCCTCCTTCACCTCTGTCTTCACAGGCAAGGTCAGCTCCCAGACTACTGCACTGGGCAACACAGTTTGGGGAGGAGGTAAGCAGCCAGCAGTGGCAAAAGAACTGGTTAAGGACTATTTAGAAAAGCTGGACATGTGCAGATCCATGGGTCCAGATGGGATGCACCCAAGGGTGCTGAGGGAGTTGGCTGATGTGATTGCAGAGCCACTGGCCATCATCTTTGAAAACTCATGGTGATCAGGAGAGATCTCGGATGATTGGAAAAGGACAAAAATAGTGCCCATATTTAAGAAAAGGAAAAAGGAGAATCCAGAGAATTATAGGCCAATCCGCCTCAACTCAGTCCCTGGAAAAATCATGGAGCAGATCCTTAAAGAATCTATTTTTAAGCACTTGGAGAGGAAGTTGATTAGGAACAGACAGCATGGATTCGCCAAGGGCAAGTCATGCCTGACCAACCTGCTTGCCTTCTATAATGAGATGACTGGCTCTGTGGATGCGGGAAGACCAGGGGATATGGTATACCTTGATTTTTAGCAAGGCTTTTGATACGGTCACCCACAACATTCTTGCAGGCAAGCTAAGGAATTATGGGTTGGATGAATGGACTGTAAGGAGGATAGACAACTGGCTGGAGCATCAGGCTCAGAGGTAGTAATGAATGGCTCAGTGTCTAGTTGGCAGTCGGTATCACGTGGAGTGCCCCAGCGGTCGGTCCTAGGGCTGGTTTTGTTCAGTGTCTTAATCAGAGACCTGGAAGATGACATGAAGTGCGCCCTCAGCATGTTTGCAGATGACAGCAAGCTGGAGGGAACAGTAGATATGCTGGAGGGCAGAGCTAGGATTTAGAGTGACCTGGACAAATTGGAGGATTGGGCCAAAATTAATCTCATCAGGTTCAGTAAGGTCAAGTGCAAAGTCCGCCACTTAGAACAGAATAATCCCATGTGCCAGTACAGGCTGGGGGCTGACTGGCTGGGCAGCAGCTCTACAGAAAAAGATCAGGGGGTTACTGTGGACAATAAGCTGAATATAAGTCAACAGTTTACCTTTGTTGCTGCTTTGGTAGGGGTGTTGCGAGCAGGTCAAGGGAAGTGAGTATTCCCCTCTATTCGGCACTAGTGAGGCCACATCTGGAGTACTGTGTTCAGTTTTGGGGGCCCCACTACAAAAAGGATGTGGACAAATTGGAGTGAGTCCAGTGGACGGTAACAAAAATGGTTTGGGGACTGGGCACATGACTTCTGAGGAGAGGCTGAGAGAACTGGGCGTATTTAGTTTGGAGCATAGAAGACGGGATTGAATAGCAGCTTTCAACTACCTAAAGGGAGGTTCGAAAGAGGATGGAGCTAGACTGTCAGTGGTGGCAGATGACGGAACAAGGATCAAAGGTCTCAAGTTGCAGCAAGGGAATTTTAGGTTACATATTAGGAAAAATTCTCTCTCTAGGAGGGTAGTAAAATACTAGAACAGGTTATGCAGAGAGGTGGTAGGAGCTCCATCCTTGGAGGTTTTTAACACCCAGCTAGACAAAGCCTTGGCTGGGATGATCTAGTTGGGGATGGTTCTGCTTTGAGCAGGCAGTTGGACTGACCTCCAGAGGTTCCTTCCAACTCTAATTTTTTATGATTCTATGATTAGTTTCTAGTACTAATGTTGTTGTAAGGAATGCCTTTCACTAAAAGCATGCATGAATGTTACAAGGAGTTTTTTTTCTATTTAAAGGTTTGAGTTCTTCCTGTTGTTGCTCTCTTGATCTAACGGCTTTTTTGTTACTAGTTTAGTGTTGAACATGGTAAATCCTAGGCTTTGAATTAATATACCATATTTACTCTACTTGGATCTAAAAACAGAGTGTTTTTTTTTCCCCAATCAGCTTGAAGGAATAAAAAGCTTTGTGTTGGAGTCCGGTACTAACCTGGGGCAGGCAGCAGCTAGCTCAACTCTGGCTCTGGCCAGGGGCTTGGGGCTGAAGCTGTAGCTGAACTGCTACTTGCCCTGGGCTGGGATGGCTTGTTTGGCAGGGGAGGAGGCTTCCAGCTGGGGAAGCATTTGTGGGAGGGGGCACGGAAGACCTGCCTGTACAGCTTGGAGGGAGTGTGGGGGATACTGCAACCAGTATATCCCCCACCCTACCCAGCTGCCCACTTTCTCCATTACCTTCTATTCTTGTTCCAGTCCCTCCAGCCCCAAGCTGGTCTGGCTGGGAGCTTCCACCACTTCTGCCTGGCCAGGCCAGGCTGGGGCCGCTGCTGCTGACTGTCGTTGTTGTCTGTGTTGTCCCTGTCCCCGTCCCCTCTGTCCGTCCCCCACCCCGGTTGCTCTCCTTGCCACAGCAGTTGGGGAGGGGGGTGCGGGGATTTAAGATGACTTTCCATTAATTAGATTCTGTAGGTGGAAAATGATACTGTATACAATTTTTCATGTATAGAATCTAATTACTGGGGGTTGTCTTGAATTCATCTGATTACTGGTTTTAAATTGTCTTAAATTTGTCTTGGATTGAGGAAAATATGGTAATGTCCAATCCTTGCATGTTCATCCAATATCTCAGATGTAGATATCTTGGGAGCACATCAGACTCTTTAGTGCAATGTTGTGGACTTGAATTAAACCTGGAGTGTTTTGTATCTAGCAGCATTAAAGGATGTTGTGGTGCTGAAATCTTCCAGTAGTTTAGTCACTTGTGTGATCTTTTGTAGAGCTTAGAGATCTTTCTAGGTATCTCTTGGATTAAGTAATCACCATTTCCAGGAGGGCTAACTGTTTTCAAGTCAGTGTATCTGCCTGTGTTGGAAATTAAAGTATAATGCTAAAAGTTGAAACTTAGTCTTCTCAAAAAAAACCCCCAAGCATTAAGCCTGCTCATGAGCTTTTTTCTTACCAATTTTGGTGGCTTAACAGTTGCATTTTTTTTTCCTTCTCTTGCATTGCTCTGTGAAAGACCTGCATAAACAGAAGGAACTATCCAGGACCCTTATTGCCAGGCAGCTCTTGATTGTCCTCATATATACATAGTTGAATGAGTAGAATGTAAAACAGGCATTTGAGGTCTGAATCATTTACAGCACTGGTGTCAAATGCTTCCTGGGCCAGTTGTGGACTGCAGGGGCTCCTCCCAGGCTGGATCTTTGGGAACACATTGAAGCAGCAGTGTGTACCCAGGGCTGGGCAGCTTTATGGAGCCACAAATGGGCAGTAGCACAGACCTGGATCCATGGGTGTGCAGGAACAAACATGGGCATGACTATGCATGGCAGCCCCCCAGCTCTACACCACTGTCTGAACACGGCTCCCTGCAGCTGTATTCCCCAGGCTCTCCTGCTGCCCAGCCAGACCTCCATGCTGCTACATGCCTTTGGTTCCTCACCAATATATGCCCTTGACTCTGCACTGCCCCAGTATGGCTCTGTCATTGCACACCCTTGGCTTTGCGCTGCCACTTGCCCCTGGCACTGCTGACCGGCCCAGGTTCTATGCTGCTGCCTGAACGTGTGGTTCCATGCAGCCACACACACCTGGCTCCATGCCACTGCTTGGTGGTGCAGAGCTCTGGCTGGTCTGCGATGCCAGGGGTGTGCAGCAGTGCAGATCCAAAGGCATGTACTTTCAGTAGCTGTCTGGACTACTGGTGGGCCAGATACAATGGTTCCACTAGTGAATCTGGCCTGCAGGCCATATGTTTGATACACCTGATTTACAGCCTGGCTACAATTTAATTTTGAAGAGATCATGATTGGCTGACATTTTAGGTTGGGGTAGGTTACAAAATTTGTTTTACCTAAACTCTTTATTAGTTACTGAAGCTCTATGTGCATGATAAAAATGAAGCTCTTCCCTCCGACCCACAACCCCCTGCCCCTCTTCCCCACCTGGATGTCAAATATGTCCCCCCACACTTTCTGGAATAGAGATGACAGGTTTACTTACTCTGTTTCAAAGCTTCTGCTGCTGTAAATGAGTGCATAGTGCAAATAATCTAAAATAAATTTTAGTGGTGGCTTCAGCTAGGTCCTGTAGGTTCAAATCCAAAAATGTATAAGTGTGATGCCAGAGAAGCTGATAACTGCCAGAGCTTATCATTGAGGTTAAGTTTGCTATTTTAATATTCACTTTTAAAATCAAGAGCTCATATCTTCAGGTATGCAGGTTGTAGCTGTAGAGGAAAAAGCAATCGGGGCTCATAGTAGAGGTGATATCTTTTATTAGACCACCAAGATTTTTGCAGAAAATATTATTTAATTACAAGCTTTCCGGCATAAGCACCCTTCATCAGTCATTGGAGAAAAGATTGTAAAAGTCGTCTTTCTAGCCAGGACTTTTACAGTCTTTTCTCTAATGCCTGATGCATGGGTGTTTGTGCCCAAAAGCGTGCAATTAAATAATTTTTTTTGCAAAAATCTTGGTGGTCTAATAAAAGCTATTGTCTCTGCTATAAGTCCCAAGCTCATACCTTTTGATTCTAAGCATTTTGGTATGGGTACCTGGTTGTCTGCAAGTTATCATGCAAATTTAAGATGGCGTAGTAATAATTTACATTAAAGCCAGTAAGCATTAAAAAACAATGTTGTTGTTTTGAGCTTAAACTTAATTTGTTGACATGCAGAACTTTCTTGTGTTTTGATGTAAGTATAAATCCATTAAATAGTCCACACTAGCAAGTACTGAATTGGTTCCTTGACTTTCAAAAGCCTATAGTTTCAATTTTGTTAATAGTGTGATAATTTATATATGCCCTTATAACTCTCCTACTAGATTTTTTTCCCCTTCAGAAATTGTGCTTTAAAATTTATATCCCCATGTAGCATTACTTTTTTTGTATATTTTATTTCTACTAGGTATTGAAACTGAAAATATTCTTCCCCCACTTCTTCAAGCCTTTTGAAAAGTGACTAAATGCAACTGGGTCAGGCTGTTTGTGGGTATGAAGTGGCTGGGAGAATCCAAGAACATGGTGGTGAATGGCAGGAGAAGTGGAGGCAAGCTGTCTAATGAACATCCGCAGAATCAGTCCAAATTGCAGCACACTGGAAAGGAGAATCCAAAGACTGGCAAAAATGTAGTTGAGAGGAGATCAAGCAGATGTATGTACATATTTGTGATTTGGTATTACAATATGAAGCATAGTGTCTTATTAATGTGTCAACTTTTTTAATTTTCCAAAATGTTGATAATCAAATCTTTTTTTTTTATGAAGAAGACTGTACTTCCTCCCCTCCCGCCCCCCACCCTC